AAAAGTTTGAAAGCAGTAGGACAGAAAAATATTATGAATCAAACAAAAGAGAGCATATGACATTAGATTAGACAAAGTAACAAAAAAAACAAAAAGAATCATCTTATAATAATCAAAAGTAAATTTCCAATTGTTATGATCTTTTCTGTGATACATTTCATTTCAAAACAGACTTCAAACAGCCTCGATGTTTTGGTTAAGAGTGATGTAAAATATCTGTGTGGTACCATCCCTGTTAGTGGTAAGAGTGATGTTGTTGGGGTCTGCTTCTTCAGAAGGAATATTGTCAGCCACATATTGTTGCTGTTTAATTGAAGCGGCATTTTACAGATCAATGCGACTATTTTTCTCTTAAAGTTGACTGAGTTAGGACCAGAAATGTGGAGAATGGTTATATCTAGGGGTGAAATGAGAGGCACTTGAAATTTCTTCATTTATATGTATTTTCAGTTGTTTTCCTTGGTGAATACAGCAGACCATGATGCTGTGTCTACCTCCGTGACTTTCCCTCTGGGAAGGTTATCCTTCCATGCTTCATCAGCCTCAGATGGCCTTGTGACTTGTTGGGGCCAGAAAATATGAGTGAAAGTGACTTTTGCCAGCTCCCAGCAGAAGCACTGGTGGCACGCTCCTTTTCCCTGCCTCTCGTGGAAGCCATTCCTTGAGGCTGGAATGAAGAGCAGACAGACGGAGCTACAGCTGCCCTCTGAAGGACACTTAACCCGGACAAGAAATAAACCTTCCTTGTAAGCCATGGAGAGGTCGAACTTACTTGTTGCCCCATCATAGTTTAGCCCAAGCTACCCTGTATATTGAACTTATATTTTATGGATATTAGTGGGAAAAAAGAGAAAGCATTTATTAAATGTCAGCTGATGAGAGAGCCAATCTTAACAGGTGAAAATGCTCTGTAACATGCAACAATTTAAAGTACCTTTGAAGGAAAACCACATGGTTGAGTTTTTAACCATAAGATAACTTAGAAACGGGAAACAACTAGGCTGCTGAAGGTTCACAATGTAAAACGTGTCCAGGGCTTTGTCATTTTGTCCATCCATCAACTTAATTTAGTGCCAGGAATGCAAAAGTTGTAAGCAGAGAAGAAGGAACAGGAGTTGGAGAATAAGTAGTCGGAAACGGACATTGCATGATAAACTTTTTAAAAGAAAAGAACAAAACGGAAGTCAGGAGAGCCTCTACAGCTTTCCTTTAATGGTAGAACACTAAGATAAATGGAAGTCCTGAACAGAAGATTTTAAGGGGCAGCTCTAGAAGACAAAGTAAAATATTATAACAAAACGTGCAAAGACCTAGTGTTAGAAAGCCGAAAACGATGAACACACTGGCATGTCTTAAACAGAAAGAACGCAAGAAACGATTCAAGCCTAGAGTCTTAATGGTGAAAGAGTCAATAGGCAAAACAGTGAGTGCTTCATGAGGCATCAAAAGAAGATGGAAAAGAAATCACAGTCGCCGTACCAATAGAACTAGGCAGCATTCAGCTGATGAGAGTGCCAATCTCATCAGCATTCAGCTGATGAGAGAGCCATTGCAAGAGAGCAGATGAGCATGAACCAATGGTGCTGAAGGAAGAAATTGAAGCTGCACTGAAAGTATTCATCAAAAACAAGGTTCCAGGAATTGATGGAATAACAACTGAAAAGTTTCAACAAACTGATGAGACACTAGAATCACTCACTCATCTATGCCAAGGAATTTGGAAGATAGCTACTTGACCAAATGACTGGAAGAGATCCATATTTCCAAAGAAAGGTGACCAAAGAGAAGGCAAAAAAATATAGAACAACATTGATATCACAAGTAAAATTTTGCTGAAGATCATCCAACAACGGTTATAGCAGTGCATTGAGAGGGAGCTGCCAGAGGTTCAGGCAGATTCAGAAGTGGACATGACACAAGGGGTATCATTGCTGATGTCAGAAGGATCTTGGCTGAAAGCAGAGAATGCCAGAAAGATGTCTACATGTGTGTTATCGACTAGGCAGAGACTTTCTGCTGTGTGTATCATAACAGACAACACTTCTTTATTACCATCTAATATCCACTTCATTTATATTCAGGTTTCCCCAATTCTGCTGTTGTGGTTACTTCTGACTCATAGTGACCCTTCGTACAATAGAGTGAAAATTGTCCAGTCCTGAATCATTCATTGTTGTTTGAACCCATTGTGTAGCCACTGTGTCAATCTCTCTCATTGAGCATCTTCTCTCTTTTGTGATCTGTACCCTACCAAGCACACCTTGATACCCTCCCAGTAATCTCAGTAAAACCTTTTTATAGTCGTGTGAAATAGGATCTAATCTAAGTCCACCCACATTTGCTTGTGAATCGTTTAATCTGTACATTACTTCTCCCTTCTGCCTTTTCATGTTATGTCCCAAATATCCACATTCGGGATTTTCCCTAATGTGTCTTGTGGTATTGTTTTAACATCAGCATCTGCCTTTCCTTCTCTGTAATCTCAGCACCAAGTATAAGGAAGTCTCTGATCAGTGGATTCCTTCCCTGTGAAATGTGCACACTCGTATCTAGTGTGTTCACCACACAGTGATATTGTTGCTGGTCATATAAGCTGCTACATGTGAATTGTTCTATAAAATTACTCATTTACTCACTATTGAGTGTCTGCTATGATGAGGCACTTGTCTAGGCTCTGATGATTCCATAATGAATAAAACAAATATCTTCTCATGTTTTATGTAAATTCAGAATGGTCAAGATCAGATAATCCTCAATTTCAAATGCCTTTTCTGGACATTTGCAATTTATGCTGCCTGAGAACAGCAAGTTTGTTCTACAAGTATTCCTTACCACTGTTTCCTTTTTGGGGGGTCCTGGATTATAAATCTGGATTTCATGTTACTCAATGTAAATGAAAGTGTTACAGCATTCAGCAACAAGAGTAGCATGTGATAGGAAGGAGGAAGGAGGAGAACTCCAAATTCAGCTCTCATGTTGCTGTTACTTTCAGCCACAATACTGTTCTTACTGAATATAAAGTAATTATGTTAGTGTTAACTTTGCAATCTATGGTCTTTCTTCAGTTTACATTTTTACTTAGACAATTTCTGAAAAGGTGTTTCAAGAAAGATGAAATATCTTTTATGTCACAGCAACTCTTAAAATCTAGGAATAGACACTAAGTAGATGAACCTCCTTCAGGAGTTTAGACACTGTTATTTTTGTAGTGCATTCTAAAATAGAGTAAGTAATCAAGCACTTGATCCAAAGGTTTGAGACCCTAATTCAACCCTAGAATAGTGCCTGAAAGCCTTTTTGTTAACAAATGAAAAGACCAAGGATTAATAGAAACAACAAACTTACAAAACAGTTCTTGGAATGAAGTATTTTTACTCATTAAGAAAAATATTCCATGAGTTCATGATTGTAATTCAAGTGAAATGTTGTCCTTGCTCCATAGATATTCCCATAAGTTGCTTTTTAAATTAAAACAAAATCCAAAGAAATAGCATTGATGTCCATGAAGAAAGGACAGTTGGATGCAGTTTAAAAAAAAAAGTTCAACAGAGGAATTGTTGCCCTTTTCTGTGTAGCTTGGATTAAATTTACTTCCAAGTGGATACCAGTTTAATGAGTGTATTTATCCCAGCCCGATCCCTGGGGGGCACTTGAGCACATCATCAAACACCACACTTTTGGCTCAAGTATCAGCATCGACTTGTAAAGCATCCTGGATCAGAAAACTGAGTCCGTCACAGCAAGGATGTGCCCAGTGCTCTTGCTTTTCAGTTTGCTGGCAACAGAGCTTGGCTTCAGAGACTACTCACACGTATTAGGCCTCCTTCATGCAACAAGAAAGGATCGGATGCTTATCTATCATGTATCCGCCTGTTGCTGCATTTTGCCAAAACTACCCGAGACTTCTGTTATAACCCACAAAAGAGCTCTTTGCATTTGCTTGCTGGGGGCACTAACTAGTTTTGCTTCGCGAGAAAGTCCTCTAGATTTTTAGAGATAAATGCAGCTTTTGTTTTTGCCATGGTGACAGTGAATTTGACATCTGAAAACACAATTGAATCTTATTCATCCGCATGGTCAGTTTCCTCGCTTTATAATAATTTCTCTCTTCGTTATTGAGGTTGCTTTTTAAATATAAACTATAATCAAGTGACCATTAAAATCCCAATGATCAGCTCTCAAAAATATAACTGTTGATAGGCCTGGGTAAATTTCATTTTACTTGCTGATGTTACATGATCTGCTGATAAGACTATCGCTCTGAATTCTAGTGGCATGGTGGTTATGCATCAGGCTGTGTTATGCTCACTGTGAAGTCAGTGGTTTGAGTATACCCGCTGCTTCAAGGGAGGAAAATGAGGCTTCTACTCCTGCTGAAGGTTGCAGTCCTAGAAACCCACAGAGGCAGTTCAACCCTGTCCTATTTATTCATTATGATTCGCAAATCCTCTCAATGACAATCAGTTTGGTTTTCTGGTTTATATATAAGGCACTCAATATATTGATAGCATTAACATGAACTATTAAATATATATCTTCCAGCCCCGCTTTTTCTTCTGAGCTGAGACACATGGTTCCCAGAATCTGTCCTCACTTTCCCCACGTTTAGCTGCGCTGAGCTAGATGTGATGCTCATAAGCCTGGCATTGCTGAACTAACCTGAAGACAAACCCATGCTGAGCTCTCACACAGTCCACGGGGCTGGGAAAATTCCTCTTCAAGGGAAGACCCAGTAAGCATTGGTGACAGGGTCTTGAATGTAGCAATGTAATCTGCTTTTACACAAAGAGAAGGTGAGGGAAGAATATGACTTTAGCCTATATTTCTTGCCTTTTCCTCCTGGACAGATTTTGTTATCCTTCACTTTAAAAATCTAGAGGAAGAAGTAATATTCCGGGACATTCTTCTCCCTGACACCGATTGCTTTTCTTCTCTACGTTGCAGGATCTTCTGTTTTTCCAGCTACTTACTTGAGGTCTGTCTGTTTGTTTTGCTTTTAGGTGACTCGCACACCCTCAGTTGGCCTCGTCTTTTCTGGTCACGGTTGACTCATGGAATGGAACAAGCTGAAACATCATCGGTTTCTTTGTCTGTGGGTTTGAGGCAATTTGGGGATGGTCTTCTGTGAATGTAACTAGACCAACCGCAGCTATGAGTTCAGACGAGAAGGGCATCTCACCTGCCCATAAAACAGCCACTCCGACCCATAGAAGTGCCTCCTCTTCAGCGTCCACCCAGAGGGACAGTAGGCAGGTAAGGCAAGAGTATGAAATGTATGTTGTTACTTTAGGTAAATATAATGCCATTGGGCTATAATGTGGTTGCTAATTAATTCTGAACTTTTGTTGTGAAGCCTTTTATTCCGGAGGAAAATTCATTATTTCCTGACAATAAACCTTAGTTCCGAGCTTGTCTTTCATTTTGGATTCTTTTTCAGAATGTGTACAACTGAAAGGATGGGGTCTGCTGGGGGGAGCCCTGGGGTGCTCTGTCCACCATCTGTATCTGGCGGGGAGAACCAGCATTCGGAACGTGTCTCTTGATTTGTGTCATGCTTAGGGATCTGTGCGCCAGCAAAGGACTTCTTCTTGCAAGTCTCTCTAAGCCTCTCAAACATTATCTCTGTGTGGCGGTTCATGGAACCTGTTAAACACATATTCAGGATACAAAAAAAGAAAATTTGTTATGATAGGCTAATTAAAAGCAATGAGAACCCAAACAGTGTTTTAGGTCAATGGAGAAAATGAACAGTTGTCACTAAACAATGGTAAAAATTATCTTCTGTTAAACTAAAGTCAATTTTGCAAGTCATTGTTTATTTTCAAAGTTAGTGCTTCTTCCGCTGCCAGAACTAACCTTACAAATACTCTTCATTGATACAGCAGGTCATTGTCTTGGCTAGCCTCGGTCTGAGTAAACTATTTTCCAGCATAAAATTATTTGGGGATAAGATTTGCATTGTGTAACTGGAAATTCTTACTCAGCAGGTGTTAACGTTTCTAAAACTTTCCTGGTGGGGGAACTTGCCTGCAAAGAAACTATTTCTTGCATTGGCAGAGTCAGAGAAGGTGGAAGGAGCATGAATGGAAACAATGCCGTGTAAAACATCTGCTACCTGTCCAGGTGCTTGCTCGTCTTGGATTTCAGTCCACCCCTTGCCTACTGCTCTGTCCTGGATTCTCCACTCTCATCTTGTGTTGAGTATTTGAAGTGAGAGGCATGTTAGATGAGATTGTAGACTTGAGAAGCATTTAAGCAGCATGGCTTTCCTGAACTGCTCTGGGAAGAAAAACTGACCCAGCTCACCCCGGAGAGCAAGTGGGAAGACTGATGAATGCTGTAGCAACATCTGTCATGCATTGATCTGCCCAGTGCACCTGAGTTCCGAGGCCAGATTGTAACAACCCAGAGAACATCCGCTCAGCCAGAGAAGGAACCTGAAGGTGGAATGTGTTGACTCCTTCCTCCCGGATTGCGAATGGAAATTTTTGTGATGGGAATGAGAATAGCAAATCTGTAAATTGATAATGAACTCTAGAAAAGTAAGAGACAGTATTCAAATGGTTATTGTTTTTGAAGGAAGACAGTTCCTTGTTTTTTAACCACCCCCCCACCCCCCGTTTATCTCTGCAAGTGGAAACTCTCCTAATAATTAATACTTTCTCTCCTGGTTTCTTCCTGCCTCCTGTTTTGTGTCTGTTCCTTTTTCCCAGGGGAGGAGAAGAATCAAAAGGGACATTTATAGTTCTGTTTTTTTCTTTCACAGCCTCAAATTCTACCCAAAACTCAGTCTTAACACGTGGGATGCAGAAATGTTGACCTATAAGGTGCTGTGATATTGGGAGAGGGATGGGAGTTTTTTCTTTTGTTTTTGTTTTTTTATACAAATGGAAATCTTTCGAAGGAAACCATGTCTTGGTCTGCCTCTCTCTGCCTCTTTCTCTCAGTCATTTTGATCGTGAATCAGTTCACAGAACTGGTGATCAGCTTTACAGGCAGTGATGCATGCACAGTCTGCTGGAGCTCATTCATCCCAATACCCTCAATGCACCATCACCTATCCCAGTTCCTCCCTGGCTGTCCTCCCCCCACGGCTCCTTTTTTCCCTTCAGAATTGTGTCCGTGGGAAAATGCTGTTCCTTGATCCCAAGTGATTGGTTATTGTAAGGTGGCCATACCTCAATAGTGTTCTTGTCCCCCTTTTAAATCTGGCTATTGTTTAGCTGAAAATTGAGCCATGGGGTGAATTCCATTCCAGACCTGAGGGGTGACTAAGGTCTTAGGGGCCCCTCCAGTCTCTCCAACCAGCAACCCTGGTCTCCAATGATTTTGAGTTTAGTTCCACATTTTTCTCCCTCAAGCCAGAAAATAAAAACCAAACCCACTGCTGTCAAGTGGATTTTTTAAAAACCATTTTGTTGGGGGCTCTTACAGCTCTTATCACATCCATCCATCCATCATGTGGGTTCCAACTCACAGTGACTCTTTAGGATAGGCTAGAACTTCTCCAATGGTCCTCGGGGTGTTTTTATGTGCATTTATTTTTGTATGAAAACTGGCTGTTTTAATAGTGAAGGGGCCTAGAGCAGATGTGGGATCTGACTCTGACATCTGTGTAAATGGTGCTACATTGCAAACTCCAGCCTGATTTTTCTCCAAAAATTGGTCACCTGGATGAAGGCACATATACTGGATGAAGAGTGAAAATACAGTGGTTCCTTAATGCATGTTATTTTCTGTTCCTTCTTAAGTTCTAGTTCCAAGTCACTAATTGCTTAACTGTGCAATTATACGTAGATGCCCTACTGTCACCGCAAATCGATATGTGCAAACTATTTACTATGGTGGTACTCATTTTCTCAAGACCCAGGCCCAAGCCATTCCTTTCTCTTTTGCTTCTCCCACATCCAATAAGTTACGTCTTACTATTTTCCCTCCTAATGTTAGCCTCATTCATGCTTTCCTCCCATTCCCATTGTCAGGAGATCACATTTCCTTAACATGACAGTCATGCTCGAAGTCCTTCAGTAACTCTCTTCTACATACTACTTTGCTTACTTCGTATCTAATTGCACCAATGCTTTGATTCAGCTCCTGCCCCATTTTTCTCCCAAACAATACTTTTGTCTGCTTTTCACTGACCACTCAAAACTATGCTCTCTCTTTTTTGAGCTTTTTGATAATTTTTGGCATTTTATATGTATATCATTTTATATACTCATGTTTTCAAAAATAATTTAAGCTCTTTGTAATAGTTTTCACAAAGACTTGCACATCCAATGTTTTAATAACTTTCTGGAAGATACTTTTTAAAACCTTTTACTATATTAGTCTTGTCTTTTTATTATACATTTTCCATTCCAGATGTATTTGTCTTCTCCTTTCTTCCTTCCTCATGGAGAAGTAAAAGCAAAAAACAGCTACCAAGTGCATAGTAATAAGTGGCTGTCTTCCCTGTCACTAAATTATGTAGCACGTCAGGTGAGGGAGGGAGGGAGAGCGAGGACTTGAGAAATAAAGTGATTCAGTGTCCCTGTAAAGCCACTGAGCATTTCTTCACCAATAAGGGTCAGGAAGGTGGCACAGTGGATAGCTCTTTGAGCTGCTTTCCACATGTCAGCAGTACAAACCCAACAACCACAACCACACAGCCGGACAAAGATGAGCTTTCCTTCTCCTGTAAAGATTTACAGCCTTGGAAACTCACAGAGGCCAGTCTACTCTGTCTTATAGGATCGCTATCAATCAGAATTGACTAGATGGCTGTGTTTGTTTTTTTTATTTTGGAAGAGGGTCAAACTCGGCTAGGTATTGAACAAGTTTGGAGGCTTCAGTAATTAGTCTACTATGTTCCATGTAAGCCTGATATTAAATGTCAGAACATCTTATAAATGTGTGTATGTATGTGTGTGTGATCAGCTATGATTCCTAAGCTATAAGAACAACGTATCCTGTAACAAAGAGGAAGTGCTGAAATCCTGGTGGGGACTGAGCATGATAGCGGGACAGGAGGAGAATCAAGGGAAATAGAGGAAAGAGCTGGGAGGAAAAGGGCAT